CATTGGGGCTGGTTTCTACGTGGCGGGTCCCAAACCAAGCGCACAACCTCGCTAGGCGAGTAGGTTTAAAGCTTTTTTTTACACATTTATATATCGAGCCGCTTGCTTCAAGACCGACGCCCTATCGCAGCCACACCTCTGGTGAACAGACGCTGCAATTAGACTTCAGTAGTCCCTTAAACCGAATAAGTCGGGTTGGCCCTACTGAAGCTTCCTCTCTCATTAGCCGTGACCCGAGGCTCCACACGGGTTAGTTACCGCATCTTGCACAAGGGTTGCTCATGTTTCCAGGGTGCGCGACGTTGACGCAAGATTAGGAATTGAGTATAGACGCAACTGTAACCGCATACTACACCCCATTAAGCCCCAAGATTACCTCTTTTTATTTACAACGTTAATGCAGCGATCAACGCCTGTCTACACTGCCTGTTGAACAGCTTGAAGTTGCACTGCTGCTAGGTGGTTATTTTCTCGCAACAACACTGATATAGTCATTTCCCTCTGCCGTTGCTTCTGAATTCCGTCGCTCCTTCTGATTTGAACGTTCTCGTTTCTCTGATTATACGATCGTAAATATAATCGGCAAACGCCATCAGTTATACTCGTACACCCTTACAGAAAATTACACGTTTTATATTTAGTTCTGCAGCTCGTATTATTTGTACCAGCATTGGTTGAAAATTCTTACTATCCAACTCCTACGGTATTATTCAGTATCAGTAATTTTGAGAAGATACCAAACTTAGATATAGAAACAAAGATATAACTCCTATTCCTGCTAACAAAAGAGGCTTTAAAATCGACAAAGATGTTATGTGTGTCAATCATAAAACGGTACTTGATTTGAAACTTTTTCATTGCTGGTAAAAAGCCAATTGAAGGAGCTTTGATCAGCTGATTTTTAGGAAGCCTGAGTACCACCTATTCGTTAATGACACGCACGGCTTTTGCTCAGAAAGCAATTTTTATTACCAGTAAATTTGTGTTCTAAAATTAAGAAATCATTAAGTAAACATTCTATGTACTTCAGCATTGATCATATCTAATTCATCTAAGAGAGCCCTTTTTAAGCCTTCGTAGTTCGAAACTGTCACCGACTCCAACAATCATTTTTTTCCAACAAGCTTCCCAGCGTCCTATTGAAATTGATACGCCACTGATTTCGGGAATAATTTTTGCGAAAATTTCTGATTGTCTTTGTCCAGCTTAGTAGAAAAAAGTTTTATTAACTCACCTAAACTGTCTATGACTGCTTTGTTTTCCACCACTGGTACGTGTTGTTCCCCAGGATCCTATTCCGATTTGCTCTGTGCCTTTCCTTAAGATCTTGTTTTCAGTGCGCTGTCATACAAGCTCATATCCAAAATTAACATGGTTCCGCTACTCTCTGAAGCTTTTATTTATTGTAATATATTTCAGTAACGAATTAATAAAGTAGAATATTATGAGTTTAAATGATATAGAAAGTAAAGTTAATTTCAAACTCTGCCTTGTTGCTATGCGGCTGGTTATGTCGGCTGTCGGCTTATGCTGCAACTACCCATCTTACATACCATCCATCCATTGCACCCTATCTTATGAGAGCGTCATGCAAATACAAAGTTGGCACCTCTTGACCATGCCATTACTGATGGTTGTCCCGCCGAAACCAACAGCGGTTTGATCTTTACCGTAAAACCGGCTATGCTAGGTTGCCAGTATTGACTTTTTTAAACTAATATTAAATAAACTAAGAAAATGTGTAGTTTTTTCAAAAGAGATTAAAATTAAATTTGTAATTAATTATTTATTACCATGTAGATCAAATATGTTTGATTGACATTTATATTCAAACATATGATATAATTTATGAAATGCGTTCACGAAAATTATCAATTTGTTGAAAAGTGTGCAAACACACTGGCAGCTGGCAACATTTTGCCGCTGTCAGCAGCGTCGGTAACTCGCGTATGTAAATCGCTCTTCCAGTAGGCTGTTATGGCCGGAAGGTAAGTAAAATGGGTAGTTGCAGCATTAATTCTATCTTCTACTGTTGTGTTGCCATACTTTACATATATACATACGAAATTAACATATAATATGAGTTTTAAATATTAAGCATTTAAGTTGGGGAAGCACCAAGCACTAGCATAGGGAACCGTCGCTTTTAAGTAGGGTAAAGGAGAATAGGCGATAGGCCTGCCAACAACGCAACGCGTGATAGAGAACTTCTAGTGTATATGGTGTGCCATGCAAACGTTACCAATAGCCGTAAATATAAGTATATGGTTGACGTGAAAACGCTGCAGGTAGGAAATTTAAACAATCAAAATAACTGTGTAAAAGTAGATCCACTCCCTTACTTTTCTCTTTTGGTATCAGCATTATAGGTGAAACCCATAGTCCCACGGAGTACTTGCATAGCTATGAAGCGGAGAGCCGGAGGGTTAGTTATAACATAATGCTAGCAACGAAAGCAACACCATAGCATAAAACAAAACCAAAATATCGAACATAGGGCCAGAACGGATATAGAAAAGGCGACATGTTCTACGGAGCACCTCAATACGATATTTGAACAAAATACTGCAACAAATAATGCCCCTTTGTCAACGAACCAATGTACATTGCTGTTGTTGTTGGCTTAACTGACGTTCAGGAGTCGATCAAATCTCACCAAAAACACTGAAAGAATTGCCAGACATTGCCCTCGATTTTCTTGCAAAAATACAGAAAAAGTCGTGATAATTATGAAAGTAAAACTACGTGTCAAGGTGTGGCATGATGGTGATAAAATTAAACTATTATTACTTAACACGTTTCGCAATATTCCAAAAGGTAGTGTTCTTGGACCAATGTTGTATATACTGCTTACTGCTGATATTACTGCAAGTAAAAAAGTAATCACGTCAACTTTTCCGGATGATACTGCTATAATAAGTTGACATAAAGTTCTATACGCGGGCTTAGAAGGCCTTTGCTACCAACTTCATAGTTATAATGCATTCTTAAGCGTTCGAAAGCTACAACGATGAAGAGAATAAAATTTTGGAATTATCTTTGACTTTTTCCAAAAGTAATAAGGCTCCCTAAAAGTCTAAGGGACAAACTGTAACTGCAAGAAAGTTTTAAAGAATTTTTCGCATTTCTGAAACTGTAACAAAAAAAATTGTATTTTTAATGTTTCCATAAACTGGGGAGAGAAAAGTAAAAAATACACATACAAATTTCGTCCAATGATTTCTGAGACATACTTTTTGGTTCAAAAGCTGGTGGCCGTACGCATATACGAAATTTTTTCTCCGCTTATATAAGAAATGTGGCCGAGTATAAAAAATGCTACTTTATTAAACTACCAGAGCATCCCCAGAAAACTGACTGTACCATTTTTTTTTTATCTATCTGTTGATCTGTAATCTAATACAATCTAATCTAAATAAACGAAAAAAGATAGTGATAAACAACATCAGCGGTTATACAATATTTATATATGTTGCTTTTTTAAATGAATGGTTGTGTGGTTAAATTTGTGTTCGACGCATAATTAGATTCGTAAAGGTCTGCGAACATACTATGTGTCTTCCTAATATTCTGTATACTTGGATTCAGTCGCTATTTGGTATAACCTATACCATTAACAATTTATACAGTTTGTCTGCGTATGCAACCAAAATTCATTTCCAAGGCAACTATTCCAACAACAACAAGAAAATCACAAATACTGGAAATGATTCAAAAATTATAAAAACATGTTTTAGGAGTTTGTTAAAATCGAAACAGTTCGTTCTGTAATTTTAACTAGTTTTGATTAATTGCAATGAAATGTCTACAACTTTAATAATTTATAAAATAAGTATTCATCAGGTATTCCTTGTACCGGGACGCTCTATAACCGTTGAGGCGATTTTCGGCCGAGCTTCTCTCCCAGTTTTATTGTGCGCCTTTTTGTTTTCTCTACAAACGGAGGGAATTACAGTTCACACTAAGCCGGTTCCGAATGACTGATATTTCTGAATAGATTTTATTTCATGAGGATTAAAAATTATTTCATGGGTTACAAAGCGCCAAAATTATATAATTTGTAAAATGGATGAAGAACAGTTAATAGTATGATGGAAAAACTCCCTCCTTTTCATTTGCTTACTTGCACCTGTTGGCGCAAGTGATTCTACGTCAAGGCTAACATTGTTGGTGTTCGTGATAGTTTGTGGTACATTCCACAGGGACCCACCCTCTTAGCTGCTTGAACCAAATGTCAAATAATAGATTCTGGCTGCTCCCAGTGACAGTCAAAAACTTTTGTAGCTTGCGTGAACTTCTACTCATTACTCCTCAGGACGACTTAACCATTATAAACTCACCATGCTTTGTAGTAATGTTCACACCCAACTGAGAGATATAAATCATCAGTTGACCTTCAAAAATTTGGAACATATCTTTCTTGGACCGGAAGCTGATTTGTTCGAAAAACTCTTCTTATGCTTAGATTTAGGTATTTTAGATATTAATTTTAAACGTCGCCAATTTACTAGGGGTGAAAAAGAGGGTGTACGTATATAATATCTATAAAAATGCAAGCCGGCTTCAAGTTTAATGAATATTTTCGTTTTCGATCTTACATTTTCTATGATATCAATTGTCAAAGATTCCATATTTTGGGAGTTTTTGTTCAAGCGAAATTAATTTTTAGAATAACCATTAGTTAGCCATAGTTCTTGTCTGAAAGAGAATACAATAATAGTATCTAGATTTATTTAATCAATTAGCATGCCGAATTTCCGTCTATCTGTCACTAATCTGATAAAAACGTATTATATATAAATTCCTTCCGGGTAAATGTTTTAAGTAAATTTATCCGATAATGGCTGCTACTTGGATGAACAAGTAATGTTCATGTAGCTTAAGAAGCGGATTTGTCAACCGACCTTTTATAAAAGTTTGCTTCCTTTCAAAAATATATTTCAATACTTTACTAGTTGAAAATAAAAAAAATATAATTTTATTCAAATTTAATATATAATATATATGTATGTAATATAGGCCAATTATCAATTGAACTAAATATCAGATTCCACACTGATTAATTCATTAATTTGTATTTTATTAACTAATATAATTTGCACAATAATTCATTTTCATGAAGACCTCTCGCTCCACTTTTCATTATTTCATAGTTAAAATGTAATTAAAATAATTTTATTAATTAAGAGTAAGCAAATTATCCCGAATAATCAGTTCAAGGAGAATCCTAGTCTATATTTGCTTCTCATCCACGCGCACTTAGTTACTAGAAAATATGTCAAACAATTTCAAATTCCCGATGTCATCTCCCCATTCTTGCCGTCAATACAATCACAACCCATCGCTATATTATTGTTCGACGTCAGCGCTATTGGATGAGCTACTGTCGCTCGTTGAACATCGCGCGCTGGGTAGTAAACAATAGGACCTGGGGAAGGTGCCCGATTGCGGTTGACTTTCGAGACATCGGACAAGCCGGTCTGTACCAAACGCACGTCCTTCAACGTACTGTTGTGCGGAACACCTGCCGGTAAGAGATAAGTTCCCGTTATGCTACGTTGTGTACCGTACCGGGAAAATCGGCCTGATGACCGATGATTTATAGTTCCGTCACCGTTGTTCGATATAGAACTCTCGTAATGCACAAGATCGGGTTGGTCACGGCTAAGACGGCGTTTAAAGAAAATTAATAGGAAAATACGTTTGAATTTTTCTCCGAAAATAACATATATTAGAAAATTCGCACTGCTATTAATCGTAACCAGCAGATTGGAGATTTTAGTAAGTGAATGATCGATTTTATTGTAAAAAGCTTCATCTATATTTACAACAAGCGCAAGAAAGTTTAGTAAGAAAAAGACGATCACGATAAATATAAGCATAGTCGCTAAGCCAATTTCACGTTTCTCGGAGCGCGAAAGCCGCTGTCGTTCGCGATTCGCAAGTTTTACTTTACGGTATATCAGACAATTGAGTACAGCCAACGTGAGAAACGGTATTATATAGTTGATAATCAGATAACACCAGTGAATATAGACATTGATGTATGTTTGATTTTGTCGCAAGGGCGAAGGACGTATACAATGATAAACTATTTCACTACCCTCAGGCTGGTGGCTGACTGTCACCACCTCCCAAAAACGTGGCAGATTGTAAACAAGGGATAACATACAACAAACTATAAAGTAAATTTTCGCGCGGCCATAAGTGCAAAGAGCACGTGATTTAAGTGGATGACACACAGCAACGTAACGTTCCAAAGTTACTGTGAACGTCATATATATGCTAGCGGTTTGAGCTGTTAAGCCGATGGGAAAAACCGAAGGTGATATAAAGGGATAAACATAATTGTAATAATAGAAGAAGTAACCGGAATATGGATAAACACACGGGATACCGAACAATAGCATGGAAGTTATAATCAAGGTGGTATCGCAGCGCGCCAAACCGATAAGCAAATAATTAATGCTAGATCGCATTTGCGGTCGTGAAAGTATAATCATTGAAATTATATTACCCACAATGCCAAATATACCGACTACATTTAAAACAACGCCACAAACCCAAAATTCTAGGCAAGTATCAGGATCAGGATGGTAAACATCCTTACATAATGCCTCATTGGACTGGTTGCGAAAGAAATGTTGGAAGGTGAAATTTTCTGTTAACTTAAGAAAGTGTGTACTATCATCAGCGGTACTGCTGCCGTAAATAGTCGTGGAATCAGTGGGTGCAACGTACTCTATGAAAACATCATTTCCTGATACAGTCTGAATAAAATCATTTAAATTTATTGGTCCGGCATTGTAATCGGGTGTAGAGCTGCCATCGATATAATCAGTGAACGGCAACAAGGCCAGTGAGTTTCCGGCTGCTACTTTGCCGGAAACTAGTTGTGAAGTTTTTAACTGATGAAAAGTATTCGGTTCGAATTCACGTGTTTCACTGAATTCAGTCATCGATAAAAAGCGTATATTCCAGTTCAAAGAAAGGATACTGATGTAGCATGGAAGCCGGTGGTATAGTTGTAGGACGGATGCAAAATGTAATTTTAGAAATAATTATTCAAAGAGTATGAAATGTTGGATGTACCTCATATTGAATTTACATTCAAATCGATGTTACTTGTAATTTGCTTAATAAATTTAAAAGATGCACTAAATCTTCAATACATGTTTTTAAGTGTTTTTTTTTAATATTCCAGCATTTGTTCTATATTTTAAGAAACTAGCTAAACTTAATTATTTACTAACGATCCTAATTTTAATTTGCCCTAATAATTCGGTTCAATTATATGAGCTCTACTTTAACTTCCGATTTCGTTTTACTTCGATGCTTTTTTCTGCTATTTGTAAATAGGGTTTAAGGCTCTTTTAATATTCATAAATGTGTTTACAAGACATATACTTTTCGCTTATAAGTATAATATCACAAAATATTTGGCTTAATGCTAAATTAAGTTAATAATTTAAGTTAAGTTATTTAAACTTCTGATATTTATAATTTTTTCTTTTAGGTTTACACCAGTTTATAATCTTTTACTTCTTAATAAATTAATTAATTGTTTTTCACCCGATATTCTTGGATTTTAAAATTTGAAGAACTTTGCAACTTTCTGACAATTTTATTAGATACTCTATTCTGCTCAACCAGCTAACACATCATTGAAATAATACAATTTTATTACAATTTAATATTACTGTTCATTACAACTAATTCACAAATCAATTAATGTTTCGATAAATTTGTCGTGTCTGTTACTAACAACAAAAATATTCAAACGAAATGTTAAACCTTCCATCTCAAATTTTATAACAGAGGGTCGATGGTCTCTACGATTTTTTCATCAACCTTCCGTGGTCTTGCATCATCGATTTTCCAACAGTGGTGAGATGCAAAATAAAATCTAGTGTTGTACAATTGGGGTGGTTATTTCTAAAACCAATAATATATTGTTCTTCTGTGGAGCTTCAATTGATACTAGTAAATATTTTTGTAGGCTTTTCTATTAGTAGTTTTTGATGTTGAAACTCAATACATACATACATATGTATACTTATATATCGCATATACACCTCCTTGGCATTGTTTGGTGGAACATTAGCGCTTTGACCTACAGTTTCCTCGTGTCCTTTATTTTTGATGCTCAACATCTCAAAAGCGTGCTTCAAAACTGTCAGCTACTTAGGCATTCTATTGCGGTTTGAATTGGTGTATATGATGGGCTCTGCTGTAAATAAAAATACCATAATTATATTTAATTCTTAATGAAAGTTGAATAGTTATTGATTTAAAAGTGTATAAAAGTAGTTAATTTTAGTAACTAGATTTTAGAAAACATAAGTAGCATTCTCTTGGTCTTGAAAATTCATGTTAACCCTCAAGTGGTCGTGCAGTTATTTGTAACGCCAGCGGTCGCGCGTAATCCAAATATGAGATATATAATATTAAAGAAATTAGACACTAGTTAACTAATAATCGTTTATTTTTTTGTATATAGATATATTATATTATCACTGTTTTTAGACTCAAAAAAGCCGAGAACATGTAACTTAAATTCATAAAAAAGGCAATTATAAAATCAGATATTATTATTATGAACGAAAAAATATTTTGCGCGGTCGAGCAATCCGTGTCAATGCCATAGCATGCATTTCACAGACTAAGAGAATTCCCTAATTTTTAAATATAAATATGGTTTATATACGTCCATATATGTTTTTATATGTTTTATAATAAATTTTATTTGTATACGTATAACGGAAGGATGTTAAATTTTTATTTATGTAATTAGCCGGAAATATAGATATATTAAGTCAACGGCATTTGATGTCCACAAGGTCAAAGAAAGATCTTCCACCCAAATGAAATCACTGCTTTTATACAAATATTGGGAGTCTTTGAATAAAGCATTGTCATGTTCTTCTTCTACCTCTTTGGTGTTCACACCGCTTACGCCATCCCAGAGGAGAGCATGACCAAAGCATTTATCATATTCCTCTTCTTCTACTTTGGTGTAGGCATCGCTTACGCGATTATAACCGAATTAACAATAATGGATTTATTAAACTGTGAAGCCAGGTCATACCCCGCCTGATCTTTCCAACCAAGTGTAGGTCTTCCCCTTCTTTTACCAGTGGGTACTGCATCAAATACTTTCACAGCTGTAGTGTTTTCATCCATCTAAATGATATGACCTAGCTAGCGTAACTACTGTCTTCTAATTTGCTGAATTTTATTAATGTTCATACAGCTCACTCTTTCTAAGTCTGCAGTATTCGTCCCCAGATATAAGCTGAGGACCATAAATCTTCCACAAAACCTTTCAATCAAAATCAACATGTCCACACTTCTGCACCATACAGAAAGGCTAGAATAATGAACGACCTCCGTTCTTTCGATTGCATACTCTGTTCAACGTAGCACCCGTTGGCAAGATTAATTTCGACAGAAGATATTTCGTCTTGCCCTCATTCATTATCAGATCCATTCGCCTCGCTCTCTTATCTATGGCGAATATGTTGTCAATTCTAGATTAGAAAGATTTGAAGCCACACTGATAAGGTCCAATCAGTTCGTTGACGGTGGGCGTTAATCATTCGCACAATACGCTCGGTATTGATGCACATTTTCAGTTTTAGCTGTTCGGATTAAATAGTTCAGGTGAAACGCCTTCAACTAGCAAACTTCATCATAATCGGGTGATGGAACGTCCATACCATCATTATCGATTTCGTTTCCCATCTCCGAGTGTTTCACTCCAAATATCTTTTCTCATTCCTACAGGTAGAGCTTCGGTCTTGAAACTTTCTGAAAGGCGTCTAATTTTTTCTTAGCATTTTTTTACTGAATCGCTTATATCAACTTAAGTCAGACAGTAAGTTTAAGGATTTTAAAATAAAATTTAAAACGTGTTAGCTCGAGTCAACGCAGACCCTTTTCAAACAAGGGCGCTCTCATTAGTAGATGGGAAAATCTTTTCGCCGTGGTTGGAAATATCTGGATGAGTTGTACAAAGCGTTGGATAATGGATTGGGATGAATTTTCAATTTTGTAAGGTATTTCAGTCTGTTTCTTTTAACTTTGAGCTTAATTAGTAAAAAGACAACGCGTTTATATATGTTTAAGTCATTAATGTATTACATTATTTTTTCATTATAAGTTGCAGAGCTGAATACCATACAATCAAATTGGCTTTGTAGTTGCATTGTAAATTTCTAAATGTACTTTGTTTTAGCCCAGAGTTCTCATATAAAAGCCAATTTAAGCTAGCTACTTATAATGTCTTATGTAAAACTTTGTCATCATCATTTTTATAACACTAATTCTCCAGTTTAACAGCCACTCCTCGATGATTAGTAAATGATCCCCAATCCTTTTCGATGCTTCTCGAGGGAATTTATCACAGCATTATAGGCTCACACCAATTGGGTGTTGAGGTACCCTCTGCAAAGATGGAAAGCAGGAGATATTTTAGATATCAGAATTCTTTTAAATATCATAGTCTGGATATTTCTTTGAGTCGCCTTAACAATTTCCAGAGCTAGCGTTTTAATTTCCCACCTGAGTGGGAAACCTTTAATTATTAGATGCATCATTTAGCTGGAACACCTTGCTTAAATGATTTGGAGCTGCTTTTTTAATTTACCCGGAACACCGATAAATTCCCTTTCAGCTATACGTGGAAAGCTTGAAAAGCCGCCACATGGATAGGAGGATGCGTATATTGGCTGCAATAAGATAGTGATCTGAGTAGAGAAAGTACGCACATCTAATTCGCTGGAGATATGCCCTCCGTAATACGGTCGATCAGCCGAATATCTTGATGTTTTTTTTTGTGTTTCATTCTGTTATTACAGATAACCAAAGCAGCTACGCTAAATTCGGTCAGCTCTAGTCCGTTTGTGTCTTTGTTCACGTTGTCTGTTTCTCAGATTTCCGACACATTTATATAGCGAGTAACTTGATGGCAAGATCGGCAGCGACATGTGACAGCTCGGACGGAGTCGGAGTTTACAACCTACAGAAACTCATAGTTATTGACTTATCAAATGCGAGGACCAGACCTCCCGAGTTTTTCTGTCGGATAGCTGTACTGAAATCAGCCTCAAGTTGAGATTTACCCGCGCGGAAAATTCAAAGGAGGCATTGGTAATCTTGAACAAACACGGAAATATCTTCAATCTTCATCTTACACAATAAACAACTATATTCTAGAACAATTTTGTTGACTTTGGTGTAACATAATTTCAATCTTCATATTGTTTCCTCCACTTTTTCCTAAAAATAGTATATACGATGTGTGTTCAAAAAATCTCGTGAATTTTGTGTGTTTTCAAAAATTATTTATTTTTTCATGAATATCTATTTTGTCCCCTTCAAAGTAATCCCCATGAGATATTATACACTTGTGCCAACGGTTTTTCCAATCTTCGAAGCACTTCAAAAAATCGTTTTTTTTATCTTGTTCAACTCTTCCTTCGATGCCGTCTTTATCTCGTCAATCGTAGCGTAACGTCGTCTTTTCATGGACCTCTTCAGTTTAGGGAACAAGAAAAAGTCACAGGGGGCCAGATCTGGGGAGATCGCAAGAATCGGATCCGGGCCGCACTTACGAGACAAGCCGCAAGCTACGCGTCGTCCTTCAAAATTCTCCTGTATTGACAATCATCATTTGGCGCCGCCCCCACTACCAAAAGAGACTGGGCTGTTTAGCGCACGTCACCATGTCATACCAAGAACACTGGGATAATTTTTAACTCACAGTACACACATTCCTCTTATGTCGTCGAATAACTGCGCCCGGCTTTGTTCAAGGACCTCCTCAAATAAGCTATAACACTCTCACCGGGATCAAACATTCACGTTAATACCGCACCTACAACGAAATCTTTTCACAATTTTCAGTCCAATTGAACCTTCGATTATTCTTCACTAACTCTGCAATAAATCTTTAATAAATCTACCAGGACACTGTTCTTATAAATGACTGAACCTTTTTTACCTTCTTCGGTACCTCAATCCGTTTTTGTCCACCACGTAGCATAAGTACTTCAACTCAGACCTACAAAAATTACGCTTGTCGCTATTTAATCTAAGCCTTGCTCTAGCTAATCTCTCTAGAATTTCTTTGAAAATATCTAAATGTTTTTCAAAATTATTTGTGACGATAATAAAATCGTCCAAATACACAAAAACATGAGGTTCTAACTCTGGTCCTATGACGGAGAGAATTTCATATTCCGTCATCCGGCCTACTGTCCCTCGGCAATCGAAGCACTTAACCTCCTTCTTGCAGTCTTTTAGTGGGTATTTGATCCCGTCCTAAAACTTTCTACACTGGTTCGCTACAGCTGATGGTTTTTGAGAATCGACTGTCTCTTCGACCACCCGGGTGTGGGTACTATCGGGTCCCCGCGAGTGGCACCCGAGCGCTCTACAGTACCGATATTCTCTTCGGCTTCCACGTTATCGACTATCTCCTGCAGTACGGCGAAAGCATAACTTGCTTTTTAGCTTCATCTGCGATTTTCACCATCGTTTTCGCTTCAAGCGATGGCTTGCCTCCACCCATAACCGATACAATTAATGTCTCTACCTCTTTCAGTTTCGACTCGACTCGATCCTCGTCAAAACTAAAGGGGTAGTTTTAGAAGAGGATTACCGAACCTCTTCGTTCTACACGTCGCGATGCCCTTAGCGCCGAGTGCCTCCATCTCGTACACGAGCTCAACCAACAAACTTTTTTAAATATAACCAAAATAAAAAAAATCTATTACCCTGATGTAATTTCTCGTTGCTCTATGCTGGCTAAAAAAAGACTCTGTCACGTAAACAACAGTAGAGCCTTACAGAGAATCAAACGAACAAAAAAAAACGATTACAAGATATATAATATAAAAAAACGAATAATATAATATTAAAACACTCACTACTTTTACAATACGAATATTAAGCAAAAAAAAAATTTTAATTAAATAAAAAATATATTTAATTCAAACAAAAATAAAAAAATAACAATAAAATCTTTAATTTTATGATAACAGTTAAAAACCATAAACTAAATTTGAAGGGGAGTGTTACTTCAGGGCCAGTTTGACAATACTTTACCAAAAATTTTTGCTACCGGTATAAACAAACGGTCCAATACAATTTATCATAACAAACGAAAAAATAAAAGTGTGCAAAACGGAATGGACTCACCAAATTCCTTCTTAATATGTTTAGTTGATAATATTTTAAAGCTGTTCTGGGATCGGCCTCCAATCTTACTCCCTACTTAACAGCCCTACTAATAGAAAAAAAAATAACTATATCAACAAAAAACACCACTCAACGTACGCTGAAACAAGACTCTCAATAACTTCTCAAAATATGTTTCCTTTTGACTATCGGGCCCCACGTTCGGAGGCGAGTGGTCTTCTCCACTTTTTCCTAAAAACAATACGTATGTATATACGTGCATATGCCGACAGTGGTTGTTAGCTAAATTCTACCAACCACCACAGTACCTAACTAAGTGATCGATGCTATAAATATATGAAGATCACACTACGACAATAAATAAACAACGGAGCAACTACATGTATGTGTACGTACACAGAATCAGCAAAATATCTTTTTAGGGTGGACCCGAGGAGTGGTCCAACCAAACTGGTTACAAACCTACTCGCATTATTCCCGTGCTGGCGGTGGTAACTTTAACCCGCCAGTATGACTGTTGGTGCAAGATGCTAAAGGGATGGGTGGAGACAAAACGAAGGAAAAGGCACTGTCGGCACGACACCTCTACTGGCAGCACAGTTATTATTTTTATATATTTTTTTCACTAGAAAAACACGTACGTCTGCGAAAAGATGTGTTTGCTTTCAAACATCGGAAGAATCGGATCCGGCACGCACTTGTGAGCCAGGCCGCAGCCACGCATTGACCTTCAGAATTTCTGGAGAGTATGTGTTAGTACCCAATCATTTGGCTTCGCCCCTTTCTCCAAACGGTCCGCGCAATGCATACCATTTCCCAAACATTTGATAGTGGACCTACCTCTCTGGGTAGGCACACATCGAATCCAATCGTCCAGTCGTTTTATGACTAAATTATATTTTTCTGTACTAAGCGGAGCATCCTTGACAAATCAAGTTGGCAGTAGTCACTTCAGCAATAACCGGTACACTACGGGACAACATATCTGGATCAACTTGTACCTTGCCTTTCCAAGGCACTATATTAAAGTCATTTTGCTGGATCTCCTTCGTCTCCTTAAAACTCCTTTCACAATCTTCAATCCAATTGAACTCCCCATTCTTCTTCGTTAAGTGGTGATAGACCTAACCACCTCTGCAAATCTTTTATAAATTTGCGGTAACAGAAAACTGTACCGATAAATGATTGTGCCAGCTTAATTTTCTTCTGCTTTTCTCGGGGTCTACTTGTAGAACATTCTAGTCTGCCACGTAGCTCAAATACTTTAATTCGGACCGACAAAAATTGCATTTTACCCTATTTAATCTAAACCTTGCAGTAGCTATCTATCTAAAATACCTAATCTCTAAGTTTTTTTTTCGAAATTATATTAAATGATGTGATTATCTCCAAATACAAGGAGCTCTAACTCTGCCCTTATAACCGAATATATAAAACTCTGCCAGGCTATATAATTGGCGCTTTGTAACCGCTTAAGGGACTTTCGGCTTCTCCCCCAATTTGTGGTTTTGCGTCTGATGTTTTTCCAACAAATTTAGAGACCTACAGTTTATACTAAGCCGCCTCCGAACGGCTGAGCATTTATGTCATGTTCTAAATAACCTCGGAGGGGTGGCATCGCTTAGTTTATCTAAGGTCGCCGACACGTATGGAAGGGAGTTACTGTACTATATGTACCGCTTTCTTCCTCATCAGAACTAATGGATACGCTCAAGGAAAATATTTTTTGCACCTCACCCTTTGTCGAACATATCCTTAATTTCCTTGCCCATACGCGACTGTATAGGGGAAGAAACAGGGCCATAAAACTGCTTAACAGTTTCGACTTTTCTTTTACTTTTATTTTATGCTCGACCAGGTCGGTACGGCCCCTTCCGACCAAGCCTGGAACGCCCCGCTACTAGTTGACCTAATGTCCTAGATTGCCTATCATCTATCTCAGAGTGGCCCACTGTTACCACTATTCGCTGAGAAAAGCGACTAACTCCAATACATCTGGGATAATATCCGCTTGGCAAAAAATTCCATACCAAGGATTACCCCATGGGGTAACTAAGGAATACTCAGGCCTTCTTGATGGGCCAACTTGCCTACTACCACGATTGGCAAGGAAACCGAGTCAAACACCGAGATATGATTCTAGCTCCTCTACATCAACCGAGACCTAAGCCAAGCCTGGTTCCAAAAACACCTTATGACTCGGGGGAGTGACAAATACAATGTTTGAAAATTAACCTTATTGTTCCAATCTGAACTGGAGGTGGTAAAACGGAAAGAGATTCTCCCTAATCAAATCTAGCATGCCCCTCCCTGACAGAGGCTAAAGAAGCCTTACATAACTTCTCTTCATCGACTCGACCACTGACCTATACTCGTCGAAACTAAAGGCAAGTCCTAGAAGGGGTTTCCCGACCTCTTTTCTCTATTAATCGAGATGGCCTACAATGTTTCAAAATTAACCTTATTGTTCCAGTCTGAACTGGATCTGGTAAAACGGAAAGAGATTCTCCCTAATCAAATCTAGCATGCCCCTCCCTGACAGGGGCTAAAGAAGCCTTACATAACTTCTCTTCATCGACTCGACCACTGACCTATACTCGTCGAAACTAAAGGCAAGTCCTAGAAGGGGTTTCCCGACCTCTTTTGTCTATTAATCGAGATGGCCTAAGCGACTTCTTCATAGCTTCGACTGTACTGAACTAAAGCCAAAATGAGTTAAAGTTCGTTTCTTTCGAAATTTGAAATTCTCCGGTTCTATTTAGGCGGTACATTTTTGCTGTATTCAGACATACAGAGGGATGTGGTATCCTATTGACATTTTTTTCCTCATAATTCCTTTGAGGAATGTGGATCAGTGTATAGAAAGGTTGAAAATTTTATTAAGCAGGGCAGCCGATCATAACTTACGTATGACTTGGAAAATAATGCCAGTTGAAAAATAAACTGGAGTTCCTAGATCATGTTTTAGAAAATGGTACGATAAAGTCATCTCATGGGAAGACTCAGGGCGTCGTAAAATAGGATAAAGCCATAGGACAGTGCACAAAGATTTCTAGAACTTATATAATATTTTTGTAAGCTGTTTTTTTTTGCATTGCTAGCAGTAAGAGCCATTCCAATACTAAAAAGTGCGTTGGCAAGCTCTCCTGTTTTGACGTTGTACAATCCAAAGACTGAAAACGAAGTAGCCACGGATGCATTAACGCAACGGGGCGATAATCTTCCAAAAAGAGGAGGATTATTACCATCCATTTACATCCATACTCACAGAAAAAGCGTTGTCTTATTGAAAATAAACGTTGTCCCAAACAATACCATCAAATTCATTTCTTAATAAGCAATTCATTCAATTTAACTGTTGATCCAGCCTCTTTTTCGAAAAAGTAATGTCCAATGAACTCCGACGTACCATAAACTGCACCAAACAGTTACATTTTCAAGATGGAGAGGCTTTTCAACAGTAAATCTAAGGTTTGCTAATTGACCAATGTAAACGTCAAATGGAAATGGGTCTCATAAGTCAAGATGATTTATCGATGAAATTCCGGATAATTTTCATGTATTTCAAGGCTCAAATTTAGCAAAGGCACGACGTTGTTAATGTTCGCCAGCCCAAGTTCTTGTATTAACTGAATTTTTAAGTCTTATGATCCCAATATTTATGCGAAATACGGTGCAATTACGTTTGTGGTATGCCCAATTCCAAATAGCGACACAGGCTATAGTAGCAATATTCTCAGTTGTTCATGACCGACAGGTGCTACTTTGAACAAAGTATTCATTTGAAAAGTAAAACCTCTCTCGATGAACAAAAACCAAACTATATGACGAAGAAGCATGGACTATGTCAACGTCTGCTTTGGCTATACGATAATAATAGTTCATCGAATGAAGACATATCAACTACGCTGGGTAGGACATGTCGTCGGAATGGATGAAAGCCACTCCGTTTGAAGGATCAGGTGGAGAGCTACCTGGTTTCTCTTTGTGTTACCGACTGGCGCCAACAGCGAAAAGAAGGGATGAACGATGCGCTGTTATTGATTTGGCTATAATCGTGTAACTCCAATGCCAATAAAGTAGAAAAAGTGTAGATATTTTACAAACAAATGGAGGGACGTATAGTTTTTCTAAGCAGCCTCCGAACGCCTCATGTATTTTTATGACGAATTTTTGAGTTCATATCCCCTACCAAAATAAAAAAATTAATTTTTAAAATGTGTTTATACTCCGGTTGCAATAGGAGCTCAATAACGTTTGTTTTTTTTTTTTAACTATGTACATATGCAATATAATTAAAATCTATATTTGATATATGCGTCGGTGGCTTAGAAAAAACTGTGGTTCCCTAAAAGCATCATGGCGCACATCGGAAATTGAAGGAGAATTAGCATCATATCACTAGAAGTGTATACTAACAATAGCTTCAAAAAACAAAAAAGAAAAAAAACAAAAAAATACAAAATGGTCTTATACTTACTATTCTGTAACTTTGCCAATAAAAAGAATGGCGAAGCGATGAGATATATTTCATATAATAAAAATTAGTGTTAAAGAAAGCCATGCGGTCGAAAATGATTTTTGCCCTTATATCGGATTTTGAAGCATACAAATACAAGTACCATTTAGAAAATTAGTATTATATATACCCACCTTCATATATAGTAGTTATGCACATGTTAAGCCTCCCGTATACAAACAACTTAAAGTTAAGAAACAGCTCAAATCAAAGGTAGATATTTGCAAATAAATAATTATTTCATTTTTTTAAATTAATAAGTTTGTATTTTGTTTTCTTTTTTGTCTTTTTTACTACGAAATACTCTTATCTATGTGTTCAAGAAAACATCGTATATATACTTCCCACATGTATTGTGTATGTATTTATACAGGGGCATTTCATGAGTTCTTAATTACGTTACTGAATGTCACGAAAATTCGAATATCTTTAAATTATATTATATTATAATTTATTATGTCACTACATATCGTTTTGCTCGTTCCTAAAATATTTTCCTCCATCTATATTAACTAATGAACTATTCACTGTTAACAGAAAAGCTTTTATCGTGTGTTTGTAGAGAAAGAGATTTTTTCAAAATTCTACTTAATATTGTACACTTAAGTGATCAAACAACAAATTATTGCTTTTGCAGTCTTTAAATTCTACTCTTCTTGTCATTAAAAGTGGGAAGTACCTTGGTCACACTGCGACTCGCGCTCTTTGCTATTTTTATTTTCACGCAATGTATATCAGCATAAATGTATTCACACAAGAATAATAAAATATTTCCATATGCACAACCAATCGTACTTTACTTCATTGACTTCTTTGCGTTTGGTCTTTTAAATATGTTTGTATATGCTTGTGTTTTTTTTAAGAAATACAATTTGTCCAATTCACTTACACTACAAAGGTAAACACTGAAACCGTTACTGCCGGAGGTTGGAAATAAACTGAGACAAAATACAAATTCGAAAATCCTTAACAGGCACGACTATGCTCTTTGCAATGCGCAAGCGCTGTGATAATCTGAGTAGTGTGAGACAATTTAAGCGGTAGAGGAAAATTATGCTTAGAAGAACTTTCGAATATTAAGACATCACTCAAATAAAATAATATTTGCTTTCGAATCAAATTTAAAATCTAATTTATGTTATTTTGAATACCATTTTGAGTCTTCGGAGGTACTTCGGCATTAATATCATACAATACATACTCGTTTAAAGGAGATTTACTTGATTTATATAATATATAAAATTTATAAACATTTGTACACATATAAATACATATAATTATTTATATTAAATAAAAATTTCAAACTTCTCTTCGGGAGAAACTTCATGCTGTCGATCCTAGAAGGAAAATGTGAAACTAGAAATTCTGGAAGATTTACTTCTAAAGAAGCAGAAGGAAAAAACGGTAGCCTACAGAGCTTTTAGCATGTGCACCCAATATACTCGTAAATGAGAGATTCATTAAAATCTATTTTCGAATCTCTCTTTGCATATAAACATATATGTATGTACATATGTAAGAAGGCATTAATTCGTAAGGATAAAAATTTTGCAGCAAATCATATAGCAAAAACATATCATGTTTAATATGAATAAACCATCGAAATGGCTTTTTACCTGATCTTCAATAATGTGTTTTCAATGAAAGGCTCAAAAAATTTTGTAGAACTCATTGCTTAGGTTTTTTGAGAGGGTATTTTCATCACATTTCTGAATCATACACGTACATATCAAAATGTCATAGATATTTTTGATGTAGGTACATATTAGGTACTAAACAAAAAAATTAACTCAAACCGCAATTTTAGTGCTCAGCGGTAAAGAATAAACTTCGGGTGTAATGGAGCACACCTATTAACCGAGTTATGTAATAGTTAACTGCATATTTAGAATTTCAAAATATTTGCAAAATTAGTACTTTGGTAAAAAAATGTATGGCTATAAAAACTAATTGCTTTGGACCACCCCAAAATCCGTTTGTTCATAATAAATTTGGTGTCGGATAATTTTAGCTGTTCTAGAGCTCCTATTACATAATTTGAGTTTATCCCCTTATGACGACAGTCCGACCTTTTGCGCTCTTCAACTGGTAAGATTAGTAAGTCTTGCTGTGTTTCAAAAGAAATACATTGGTAATGAAATTTTGAAACATAATTAAAACATAAAGCCCAATGGCTTAACATCGCTGCAGGAATTGGTTCCTGCTAATACAGTTACACGATTTTGGGCAATACCAATTTAGAAGATTGTTGTTTTTTATCTTTTTCTCCTGAGTATATACAAAATGAAAGACAATACATCATCCGCCTTATTTTCTGTTCTTATTTTCGAGCAAATTTTTTATCGTTTTCTTCGTACTACGTGAGAAGTTTCGGTATAAATAATTAACCAAATGTGCATAAGTAAATGTCAATAATTTAATGTGAATGAACATATACAAAAATAATTGACAATTTATTATTATTGTATAGAAGGACAACTTAACAACAAAAGTGGAAGTAATATCGGGTAATGCGCCCCACATTGTGCAGAATCAGCTTATGAAGTAGGTTGACTGGGATGGGCGATGGAAGCAGCAAGTCTGAGGAAATTCATCGCATTCGCGACTCGGCTCCCAAGTCACTGTTGATAGTTATAACTTCGTTTATCCATGAACCAGCATCAACACCAATAATAATGTCACAACAGGTGCTACTTCGGACTGAGTAGGCAATTAAAAATTAATGTCTTCGCTCGACGAACGAAAACCAAACTCTGCAAGTCCCGCATTGTTCCCGTCCTGCTATATGGTGCGGAAGCATGGACGATGACAATATCTGCTGAGTCGGCGTTAGGAGCTTTTGTGAGAAAGGTTTTGCGTAAGATTTAATGTCCTTTGCGTGTTGGCAACGGCGAATATCCCAGACGATGTAACGATGAGCTGTACGAGTTATACGGCGACATTGACATAGTTCAGCGAATCAAGAAGCAGCGGCTACGTTGGCTAGGTGGTACGGAAAAATGAATGGCGCTCGATTATAATCGCGTAAGCGATGTCTACGCCAGTAAAGTAAGTAAGTAAACCTAAAGACATTCAACAAAACTTTGCGAGTTATCATTTCAATTACATAGTAATAATAATCTGATTCGAACATCCATTTATTATTTTAAGTAAACGTCCCAAAACTTCAAGGGAGCGATGTTTATGAGGGTTGGTAGAGAGGAGAATTCTGATAACCTGCTTTTTTTTAATGATTTGCGGATTTTTGAAGATGAATTTTTGTTATATATTATATGTATTTATTTAGTTTCAACGATGTAGAAGCAATGTATTTAATCTACGCAGTAATATTTTTACAAATACTGAATTTTATTAATGTAAAGTGTAATTTTTTTTAGCTATTTTCGTTTTGGCAGCACTGGTTTCGTGTTTCATATTACTGTCAAACATCTTTAGCTTGGTCTATAATTTAACTATGAATCGTTTTACAAACAAACAACGCCTGCAAATTATTGAATTTTATTATCAAAATGCGTGCCCTGTTAAGAAAGTTCTTCGCGCACGCTTCGAAGCTCATTTTTGGCTTAATGGGTGCCTAAATAAGCAGAATTGTCGTTTTGGAGTGAAGATCAGCCAGAAGTATTGCAAGATGTACCAATGCATCCAGAAAAGGTACAGTTTGGTGCGGTTTATGGGCTGGTATCGTCATTGGACCGTACTTCTTCAAAGATGATGCGAATCGTAACATAATTGTGAACGGTGAGCGCAGTGAGATGAAACTTTTCTTTTGCCCAAAACGCCACATGACACAAAGTACGTGCAACAATGGATTTATTGAGAGGCGAGTTCGGTGAAGATTTTATTTCACGTTCGGGACCGGTCAATTGGCCACTTAAATCGTGCTATTTATCACCTTTAGACTATTTTTGTGGGGCTATGTTAAATCTAATGTTTATACAGAGAAAGCGCAGTCACGGTAAACATTTGCATGAAATAATCTTAAAATATTAAATTATATGGACCATAGTATCGATTCAAATAACGATTTCATGCAATTTTCTGAAGTATATGTGTCTTTTTTTAAAATCTTTCTTGCAGCTCTTAAAAAATCACCCTTTACCGGCGAAAGTATCTATATATGTATGTATGTAGAGAATATTTTTTTCAAATGCTGTCATTCTGCTGTGTACGGTTTGTACTGCATTTGTTTAGGTAAATATTGATTTCTTTTGGTATCAGTGTTGTCGCTTAGCTGCGGTATGTTTGTTCGACGATAATGACGAAAATGCACAAGGGAACGAAGAGAGAATGTCACACGTATACAAATTTAGACATCAGTTTTGATATTTCGGTCTTAAAAAACTGATGAAGAAAATAGTTTTACGACCTGAAGGAATATGACGTCAGACATTTCTGATATTGTTGGCTCAAATTTTAGAATGTCTTCTTGTAGTCTGGTTTGTCTCCTTTTTTAGGGTGGTTTGACTTGTTGCGTAAGCAAAAGTACTAGCCAAATGGTTCGAATGATTTCATTTTTTTAAAGTATTTGCGTACATCGATTTCAATCGCGCTTTTTTGATAGTGCGTATGTTTAGATCTTTCAAGATCCTTCCAGCACTAGACAACTAATGCCTTAAAGAGAAAATTTGGCGCGTTGTGCTGACTTACGGCCAACTGTGGCGGTCACTAACCCTAACATATTGTCAAACGTTTACAGCTAAAATCTTGCCATGACATTAAATTATACGCGTTCTATTTTTCCACATGTTTAAAAACGAACCCTTTACTCTTAATTCCGTGATTAGTCAGCCATTTAGCTCTAGATGTCGTTGGGCGAAAAGGACACCGATTATCAACTGGTTGTTAATTTAATTTTATAAATACTGGGGTTCTGAAAAAAAAATTGTACTGGCTTCAGCAAATATTAAATTCCCATCTACCTTTTATGGTGACTGCAAACCAATATGATCAAGCAGATTTCGTAAGTCTGTAGGCAGGTAGGTTGGTTTTCTGGGGTGATAAAATCGAAGAGGTCAACCCCATTATTTTTAAGAACGGACTAAAGTTGCAGGAACTTACTACTAAACGAGGGTGAATTGTAATTAAGGGAATTGAAGACTTATTTGACTCAAGTAGTACAAAAGAAGCTCTAGAAGAGCAAGGGTTTGAAATTAGACGGGAATAAAGATAATAGGGCGTAGTCAAACTTCTGGGTAAGCAGTAACAGTTGCGAGGATATACTAAATTCCCACTTTTGCGGCCACGTCGCACTCGTGAGCAACCCTAGTGCAATATGGGTTATCAGCACGTGTGTTGCCTTGAGAGAGGAACCTTCAGTGGAGCCACACCGACTTATTCGGTTTAAGGGTTCGCTGAAGTCTAAATGCAGAGTCAGAAGCTGCGAACGCGCGTCGGTCTTGAAGCAGCGGCTCCCTATATAAAGATACAAAAAAATTGGGCTTACTCGCCTAGCGAGGTTGTGTGCTGGGTTCGGAACCCGCCACATAGAAACCAGCTCCAATAAAATGTTTTGCAATGTCTCGGATGAAATACTCATTTTTTTATGACGACGATGACATAAATATTTCTATATATATATTCAATACATGTATATAAATACATATATATACTAGCAGGCCTAGCGAGCTTCGACTCGTCTTAATTACACGCCTTTATATTACATTTGCAGTGATAATAAAATATATGTAGATAGTTCAAATTTGAATGCGAATTATTTGAATGAGCTCGATGGTTTGTCAACACTCATAAAATGTCAAATTCTCATAAAATTGCTTAAATTAAACTAAGCGGTTTCAGATAAGAAAAGTTCAAGTAGCCCATACGAAATTAAAACCAATTCAAGCAAAGTCAACCATAAATTAAATTATTAAGAACCAGTTTATGCATTCTAATCTAAATGATAAGCTACTAACAAATT